TAGTTGAAAAACTACGTTCACACGTTGCAGAACTAATTGGTAAAATTAGTGCTCCTTGTGATAAATTATACATATTTGGAAATATTTTCTTTTTTTACAGTAATAAAATACAGTACTGCAATACTCAAATTATTATTGTATTTATTTAAATAATTTTTAACACTTGTCATTTCTGCGTATGTATAAACGTACGTGTTCTATAATATACTCGCATACATGAACGCCCGCAGAAATACTCTGAGAGGAACGAAAATTACTTAAAAATTAAAAATTTGAATTGTCTAATAGTATGTTCAATTTTAGTTTTCCGCATATTTGTTAGGTTAACAATAAAACTACCAATAATTACATGGTGCTTTCTTTATACATTCAACGTAAATGATAAAAAGTTAAGTATACGAATATTGTATACTGTGTATAGCAGTGGTTGGCAACCAGTGCCTCCGGGACAGATCCGACCCGTGCGTCTATTTTATACAGACCCCACTGAATTCCAAAACAGGAAATTTAATTGAATATTATATCATTTTTTTTTTTTTTTTTTAATTGTCTGGCCCGTGAATACTTTTTAATTGTTGAATATGGCCCAAGAGTTCAAGAAGGTGGTCGACCACCAGTGGTATGATATACCAGTATATTATCATATTATAATGTCAAAAATGAACATACGAAACGACCCTATTGATACCTCACATAACTCTATACATACAATATACCTATATATTGTTTTTTATAATAATTACTTATAGTATAAAAAAAATAATTTTTCTTAAACATTTAAAATTATTATTTTTCCTTAAAAGATATGTATCCAACTAAACAGTATTTTTAAAATTTGCCAATTATTTTTGGGAGGGGGGTTGGAATGCTTAGGGGGATCTCAGCCCCCAAGCCACCCAGATATGCGCCGATGTACAATAAAAAGTTCTGCGTTCGATTAACCTTTTTTTTGCGACTTGCACAACGCAAATCATTAACAGTTTGGTTCCAATCGATTAAAGATACGGTTTCCTTGCGGGAAAGGAGGTCGTTAATGTTGTTTACACACAGGTCCAAATTAGTGTAGTTTCGGCATTGATGTCTTCGAATCTTATTGAATGTCTTATCGAACTGAGGTACATCCTGGATGGTTGTATATTATTATAACACGTTCACAGATCGCGTTCAAACGTACAACTAATAAAGGATCACGTTAAGGGAAAGGGTTTGGCCGATCAGTTCTACACGCGTTTGTTTTAATAAATCAAATTCGAACGCTTTTACGTGCGACACACATTGTAGTGCACTAAAATTACGCATACCGTTACGTGGTTTATGTTTGCGCGGAGAAATGTTACATGGTAACAATAATCTTTATAACCGCATTATCATCAGCATGACATCACCATCACGTTATTATTATATGTTAACAATGCATTCTTGCGCGTATTTTGTCCAACATTTAGATTATTTCGCAGACTGACTTTGACGTTAGATACGAGCAAGTAAAGTAACAAGATATGGGTTCGACCATCGATAAATATTCAGAGCCAACACACTGGGGCGTCCGCGGTAAACAATCGGCTCTTACCACCGTAGTCATCGGTTTCCAAATCCCGAATGTGTACCCGTGTAATATTATTGTAATTTGATACCAGAGGTGGAACTAGGAATTTTTACGCCCGGAGAAAATATTAAAATCACGCCCTATCAGAGACTAATAATCAAATACTCTTCTCGAGAGTATTTTACTAATAATTAATATACAATCATACTTATTGAGTTGTAACCTAACAAGAGTATTTATTTATTTATTTATTTATTGAATAATTCAACGGGCGATAGCCTTTTACAAAGTATATACAATATTTAAAAAAGTTAAGAATATCAAATTAGTTGTTAATAATTACAAAAATTATACCCTCAAAAATTTACGCCCGGGGATGAATCCCCGTCTTCCATCCCCTAGTTCTACCACTGTTTGATACTCCCAACATGAATGCGCAATGTAATATGATGATAAAAAAAAATATTGATTAGTGAAATCGAGATTTCGTATTTCAATTTTTACCATCTCAATAGGTGCGATAGTTGAGCATCCTGTCATTATAGTATTATGCAGTTTAATGTACGATCATTTTATATTAGCATGCGCTCCCGTGAAGCAAGTCCAAATATCGTTTATATTTATATCGATATCTTTTTTTTTTCGTTGCACAGATAAATAAGATAAGTAACTGCTATAAATAGATATTATTTTATACAACTTTTTTACCAATTTACAGTTTACTTTTACATTACAGTAAATTAATAGCTATTGGAATATAAAAACAGCATAGTTAACAAGACTTTTCAAACACCTATCAATGTAATTATTAAATTATCATAATATTTGTATAGTTGTATATTTTAAGTTCAAAGCGTAATAATGAATCTACGAATATATTATACGCCATCAACAATGAAACAATTTTCTTTTTTTTTTTTTTTTGGTCCTGGGGGGGTTTGAACCCGGACCCCCTTCCCGTATGTACGCCACTGCTATACGATACACCAGATGTTCTATATTTTACGTATGAACCTGGGCAAACCACTGTTAAAAGAAATTCCGATTGTCCGGTAACACTAATATAAAATGCTCAGCGAATTCGTAAACCACAAATTCGTTTCGAAACCCATTACAACGTTTTGAGACGGTCCCAGAAAATGTAAACTATTAGCTGCTTTGCGGGTACAAATGCTACGGTGTATTCTCACGTGAACTCATATGAGATTCACGTATAATAATTATATAGACATTAAAATCTTCCGGTTAATTTGGATTATTCAAAGTGTAATTTTTCGAATTATTAAGTTTTGTCTTATGCATTTATAATTTTTTCCCTAGTAACATTTAATTTAATATTATAATTTAAACGAAATAACAACATATCAACTTTTATAACAGTATTTTTTTTTTCAGAGATTCTACAAGATTATTTTTAATATCTGAGGGTAACGGAGTAATGCTATAATTATAACAACAACGCGCAGTTATAATTTTATAATGGACTATCTGCGTCAACAGCAAGAGTTTAATGTTATTGGTTTGATTGTAGTAATAATTAAACTCTCGTTTTGTACTTACATTCACGTAGTATTGTATGCATGCGTAATTATTGAATACTTTAAAACATTTTTACACTGTCCACGCTCTTGTCGTGCTACGTGAAAAAACACGCCATTTTTATTCTGTGGTTTCAGATTGGTTTTCATTATATTACATCCCTAACCTTGGAATAAAGGTTCAAGTGTACGATCCTGTAAAACACCGCCACAGATATCATATATCGGATACTGGAAATTTGTGTAGTCACTTAATACTAGTAGGTGAAGATTGATTATTTTAATATACAGGTAAATATATCAAATTTAAGACTATTCCACGTTCAAAGCTAATACTTTATATGTACGTTCGATACGGTTGTAGGTACGTATAGAACATAGCGTCTGACGGATGATAAAACGGAAAAATCATCATGTTGATTAATAATGGATTAATAACGGTACTATATTAAAATGTGTCGAGTACTTGTGTACAGCAAAGATAAAACGTAAATTTATTAGTAGAGAAAATGTTTGATTTTCTAATCGTTTGGGATTGAAATTTACGCGGAAAAGGATAATCGCGCGCGAACGAAATATTTTCCTCGAACTGCGGTCGTCCAACGGATGCGAATGAATACGATACGATTTCTCCGGGTGTTCGCCGACAACGATGATCGTACGAGATTTCCGATCGGCGAGCAAGCTGTATAAATTATGTTCGACACGAGTCTAAATACAGTACGGGGAACGAGACCAGAGTTGGGTAAAAAAAAATCAAAATAAAGAATAAAAAATAAAAGCATGAATAACTAATTTATTTATGAATAAAGAATAATTTTTTATTCTGAATAATTGTGATGCACTGAATACAGAATAAAATAATTATTGTGAATAGTTTTATTCGGAATAAATTTATTCGTTAAAATCACGAATGATATTAAATATATAAAAGTATATTAAATTTATTTTTGTCAATTATTATGTATGTATTAATACGTATTACCTTTATATATATTATTTAAGTCTAAACAATAAGTCTATTATTATTATACATCGCTATTTAGGATTTAAAATTATTATTATTTATATGATTATAGGGAATAACGAATAACTGAATAATGAATAAAATGTAGTAAATAAAAATCTCCGAATAATAATGCAAATTAAAATAATGAATAAAAATAAAAATCAATAATAAAATTAAGAATAGACGAAGAATATTTTTTTTATTCGAATATTTTATTCGTCTAATGCCCAACTCTGAACGAGGCGACACCGGACGTTATGAAAAATGTCGAATCCGCAAGATGCCGTCGCCGAAAAAACCGCCGTCCTATGCGGTTGAGGGAGAGAATACAATGTCGGATTCCCAGATCGTGTTTTGCGTGATTCGTTTTCAGCATCGACCGCGTTCGATCCCTATAATTTACGGACCAGCGTGCACCGGCCGTATTATCTAGATAACCACGTATACTTACCGGGCACCGATGTACGTACGGTACTTCACGGGCGAACATTTCGGACTGACAAATCGTATCATATTATTACGTCCCGACATCGCGACGACGACGAGCGTCCGCCGGAGCAATGCCACCACGGAGTCCGGTTTGAAGTCCGAGGAATCCAATTTTTCGTTTTTTTTCTTCTAAATTTTTTTTCTCTCGTTTCTTCCAAGTCAACGGTTTCTTCCCCTTGCCCCCTCTGCTAACCCGTTCTCCGTCACCACTCGAGAGAGCATTTCGTTTTTTTTTTTTCTTTCTTGCTTTTTTTCGGTGACGTCCCGATCGACGGCCCACTTTTTTTCCCGCGGGTACTCGTCGGTCGGTCGGTCGGCGGCGGCGGTGTCGCACAACGACAACAACAATCGTTACGAAACTGGTTTGCCCGGGTTACGGCGGCAGCGGTGGCAGCGGCGGCGGCGGCATTCAAGAGCACCGTCGAAACGTATCGCATGCGCTCGTCAGCCGCGCACACGCACTATCACGTTCTTGTGCGGCGGCCGTCCGTTTCCGTCCGTGTCCGTTCCGTCCGTGTTCGACCGTGCGGTTTATCTGTTCGAACGCATCCGATTGTACCGTGCGAAGCGGCACCGAGCTGAAAGTGTGCGCGGAAAACTCTGACCGAATCGTCGTATTCGTTGAACAAGTTAAGCGTTCTTAAGATACATCGGTTTTTTTTTTTTTTTTCTTAACCGTCTCTTGCGCCATTTTATGGTACATTAGCGCCGAGCGTACGGTGTCGCGGTAAAGCGATGCGGTGATACGGCCCCAACACGAAGACATTTACACCGCGAGTCGATATCGTTTTTGTCGAATAACTTTTCGCTGTCTCCGGTCGACCTCGTCGTGTTCGCACGTGCCATTTCGCCTATGCGCGCGTCGTAGTGTTCTCGTTGTCACCAGCGCCCTTTGCAACGGTCGGATAAATGGTCCGGAAACCCAAAGACTCCAACATGGTAAGTGCATAACATACATAATCGTATCACCACGTTCGATACGGATTTATCTTTTGCACGTCACTTAGTGCGCGCCGTAGTTCCCGACGATTGTCGCAACCTTGTCACGCGCTGGCAATAGTGGTGTAAGTAAGGGGGCTCCCCCATATTCAAAACACCAGTTTTTTAATAGTAAAAATAATTTAAGTGTAATAATACAAAATATATCAACCATCCCCCCCCCTCCATAAATAATCTTTACTTACGCCCTTGCATTGCACCCAGTGCATTCCGATGACTTGCAGCATGTGATGCACTTGACCTTCAAAATGTAAGGACTGCCTACTAAAGATCGGGATGAAGAGTGTGATTGCAAAATCGTTTTTGTTTTCGCCGATACCGTCGCGCGTTCGCATAGCATTATGTCGTCAAAATCATAAATCACTCTTTAGGGGGTTGGACCGTGGCGGTTTCCCTCTTCCGTCGAAACCGTCGTGTGTTCGACACCAGAACCTGCGTATGGCATTATTTTTGAAATCTTTCGTATACGTTCAAAGTGTTTGTCTGCGAAGTAAAAAACAGATGTAATCGGACAGTGGTTAATCACAAGTTCTCTTATTGGCGTACCGATAATATTATAATGGAGATCATTAGAAACGTTTCTTGGCTCAATCCGTATATTATTTATAAATGTGCACAGCTAAATGCTCATAAAAAATTTATCGCTTTCAATAGTTATTAAATTTTAAATCGTTGTACATTGAAAAATTACGTAACCGTCAGTCATTGTTCCCAAAAGCTAATTAAATGCAAAACAATATATAATGTAAATGCGTACACTCGAGTGGTTTTATTGAACGCTCATATTCTATATCATGCTATATCATCTTATGCATTATGCTCCGTGATATAATGAGCCATAGTCGAATAAAAGTAAAAATATCTCATGCATCGCAGTGTTATTTTATGTATACACTTAAAATAATTACTTCATTTATATGTCTGCTCGTGATTTTTATTCAGACTGCTCCCTATTATAGAGTCTGATCCAATTGCGATATACGTTTTTAGCATTTACTTGTCCATATATATTTCATATTATAACACCTCTTTATATTGATCGAAATTAACATAGATAACGCTTCATTGCGAAAATATATTCGATTATTTTAATCGACCCTTCTCTAAAGTGTGAGATGCAAATTGATTTTTTTTACTGACGGATATTTTAATAATTAAGATTTACATTTTAAAATGTTTAACAAAACACTTATTTCTTCATTATTTGAGTTTATAGTTTTTCTTAACAATAACGTACATTTCAATTAATTATCTTAAGTTCTATATTTTTACTTTTAATTTTCTTATTAATCATTGGTTTGATATATTCTTATATCTTCCGAATAATCGAATAGTTAATATCTTTAAAACGTAACATATAAATGTGCATAATTATATTTATTCCTATATTGTATGTATCTGCTAAAAAATATATGTTTACTAATGGATATTATTTGTTGATTTCCCACAACATAAAATAATTATGAGATCAATCCAAATATCCTCATGATTGTAGTAGTTTATTAATATTATTAATATATTAATTCATAAATTGTAAATACTGGAAACACTAAACTTTTATAGATTCTGAATGAATCATTTTATCAAACAGTAATTATATTTATATTATACTGTGTTATTTTGTAAAAATATGCAAATATCTATTTTGAAATAATTGTTTATTTAAAATACAACTAGGACTTAAAATCGTTTTTATAACAGAATAATTAATTATTTGTAGTACGTAGGTATAATATTTTAGTTGTAACATTGTAATTTTACTTAAACGTTGTTTTATGGTCGAGATGTTTTAGAATTTATGACTTATGTCCATAAAAAGGATAATGAAAACGTTGACCAACGCAGACATTTTTTTTATTATAATGTAGAATTTTAATTAGTTTTTACTTAAAACAATAAAAATTGATATTTATTAAACGATCAATTCATAATCTGTTATGTGCATAAATTGTTCGTGTTGTAAATATGTTTCATAAATTATAACTATTGCAAACGTTCCCAAGAAACCGCTATTTTTTTTTTTTTTTATTTGAAAATGCAAGAATGTGAATTTAATTGCTTTAGCCCAGTTTTTATTAAATGTCCGTAGCGAATTGTTAGTTACCTACTCGGATTCCGCGAGATGAAATGCGCCAGTACATTACATGCTATATGTAACGCTGAAAAAGTAGATACTATATGTAAATGAACGGGGTTGTGGATATGATTTATTACTTTTAATCCTTTTGGACGATTAAACACAGAATATTATATCACGCGTACCTACATGTATAATTGATTATTATTAGTCCGTGCGTGGTTATTAAAATAAAAATAATGAAAATACATCATAGGTACTATATTATATTAATACAGCTGTAGTTTATTTAATGTCGTGAAATTCATTAGTGCAATTTTTATTTTTTTATACACGAAGCATGCAATTATTTACATATTATACAAGAGAAACGATAAAATGATAAATAATGTAGTTGGGAGTTTCAGAACACGTCGTCGTGTAGCTGTATTTTTTATACATTATCGGATACGAAGGCAGCGATAAAATATTTATTAATACCCTCTATTATTATAAGGGTGCAGAAAAACGTTATTGCGAATACTCAAGGTTGTCGCGGCTATATTACTAATGATAATTCCAATTCCGTAATTACTATTCGAGTTTCTAGGAACAAAAACCGTCGAAAAAACAGAGGTTGTATTTTAGGCGCATCGCATATACGAGTACTGCGTTTAATTTTAGTACACGTGTATTCGCAGGTATTTAATGTGCTTTACATACACACGAACGAGTGTATTTTTTCTTTCTTATTACACGACTTCAACTGCAGTCATTAGCCTCGATGTTCTTTTTTTTTTGGCAATTACATATACGTCATATTATACTATGTTATATAGTTGGCTCATCGAATTAATATGGAACGTATGTTCATACACGGTTATAACATGTATTTTTATCAGGTTTGAAAAAAAAAATTAAATTAAATACGCGATTTATAGTTGAATATTTGTCTAATAGCTATTTCGTTATCCTACTTACGCGTGCGCATAAAAATTATACGAAACGTACGTTTTAATTTAAATCGATCAACTAGCGTTGAACATACACGTAAGAAATATTACATGTCATATAGTATTTTTATCGAAACGAACTTATTTATACGTGTAATAATATGAATCGGATTGGATAACTTTCGGGTCTTGTTCATAAATTATATTATTTCGATTTTACGCAATAATATTTTCTAATCGACGGTGAAGCTGCAAGACAGGTTCAAGGTAGGATAAAATGTTAACTTTCTCAATTAAACATATAACAAACAAATAATAATTAATGACGCTGTCGCGTTTCTGGAATTCTACTACAGAAAACTAAACGGGAAAAGTTTTTAAAATAAAATAAAATCGAGTATCGAAATAATATTATTGTATACTTAATGACTTAGTAAATATAAATATACTATTTATTGCTTGTGGAGTAAATATTTTGACGTACTTCGTTTTGCGTAACAAAATAGATTACAAGTTTCCAAATGCAAGTTTAGTTGAACATAGTAAAACAACGGAAGGTTAAGTCAATCTCACGTAGACATATTTAAAAATTAATACCGTCATGGTTAATGCATGCTGTCGGAAGTGGTTTTTGTGTGCATTCGAGTCGAAACTCTGTGAATGTTTATTCTCTTAACTATCTTTTATTCCATTAATTAACATTTAATTAGTAAAATTGCTCTCGACATTTTTACAGGACATTAACGCTGCAATATACTTTACGTTCAATACATGTTATGTGGTGCGAATTTTTTCTTAAAAATCATATTATATTCATTAAATAAATACGTACACGGTGTAATGAAGTAACGATAAAATTAGACGTTCATAATAGATTCGCGTAGTATACGCAAACATTATTTGTAGATACGTAAAAAATGATACGATATTATGAGCGCTTATAAAACTTACGTACTTTTATAGTATAAATAATGCATTCATCTATTTTTATAATTATAATTGAATTTTTTTCCGATTTCGAGTTTCGAAACCTTTGAAGACAAATAATACGAGTAACAGATTTTTCGAAATAAATATATGCATTTAAATATTATTCTATAAGATATATTTATCTTTGACGTTCTATTTATTATGTAAAATCTTCACTAGATGAATTATTAGGGCATAAATTATTTGAATTTTTAAAAATCAATTATATATATCATATTATCTATTTGTAACGTTATTCAAATCACAATATAATTATTAATTATTTATTATTATGATGTATTTAAACAAATGCTATCAGTTCATGGGTTGATATTTTAACATACATACAAAAATATAATACAATATCAAACGCGTACTGTTGCTACACTTCTGTTTCGAATGCTCTCGAGTAGCTTCTTGTCGCACAGCTGTTCATTTCCACCTGTTACAACGTATTTTTCGTTTATATCAGTTGAATGAAAAATGCACATCAAACATAATAACCTTTGTCCTATTATATATGAATTGCCTTCATTCGTGCACTAGCACAGCAAATAAATGTGTATAGCCACCTACAAAACATATTTTTATTTATGTAACGTATTATTTTTCGAGAATAATGTTTTCGTTTCTGAGAGATGATGAAAAATACAATCTTCTGTTCAAATCGTTCGTTTACTGTTATTATAGTTCTAAAGCGGCACTTAGAAACTCATTGGGCTGACTAGTATTATAATTGACCTGTTTGGTTATGTCGTGTACGTTTAATACCACCAGCCTATATTATAAATAGCGGTATCCTACTGCTATCCACGAGGGAGGGAAAAACAAAATGTAATATAAATACGAATAAATACGATCAAAACGATAGTGTCAAAACCAAGCATTCCGTCCGCTACGAAATAGGGTTATAGCGAACTCCCAGCGTATTTACAATAAAATACATTTGAAAAAATATAAAA